ATCGGCCAGTCTGGCCGGCATTTCGCACTCATAGTGCAGGTGGGGCCAGGGAGAAAGGAAACGCTCGTTTCTCAAAAAGTAGAGGGAATCTAACGGTCTCACTCGATCAGAAGGTGGGAAATATATAAATCTAGTCAGCTAAAAAGGTTTGAAATGTATTCAGCGCATATGTATAGAGAAAATGGTGCATTGGCCAGGTCGGTCAGTATCGGAACTTAAAATGCAAATGCCAGGGAGAACGGAAGCGCTCAGATCTCGCATAGTACACGGAATCAAGTGGTCTCACTCTAATAGAAAGTAGGAAATATATTCATCTAGTGAACGTAAGGGTTTGAAAGGTAACTAACGCACATGTGTAGAGAAAATTGTGCATCGGCCAGTCTGGCCGGCATTTCGCACTTATAGTGCAACTAGGGCCAAGGAGAACGGAAACGCTCATTTCTCAAAAAGAAGAGGGAATCTAGTGGTCTCACTCGATCAGAAGGTGGGAAATATATAAATCTAGTGAGCTAATAAGGCTCGAAAGGAATCTAATGCATATGTATATGGAAAATGGTGCATTGGCCAGGTCGGTCAGTATGGGAACTTAGAGTGCAAATGCCAGGGAGAACGGAAGCGCTCAGATCTCGCATAGTACACGGAATCTAGTGGTCTCACTCAAATAGAAGGTAGGAAATAAATTCATCTAGTGAACGTAAGGGTTTGAAAGGTAACTAACGCACATGTGTAGAGAAAATGGTGCGTCGGCCAGTCTGGCCGGCATTTCGCGCTTATAGTGCAAGTAGGGCCAAGGAGAACGGAAACGCTCATTTCTCAAAAAGTAAAGGGAATCTAGCGGTCTCACTCGATCAGAAGGTGGGAAATATATAAATCTAGTCAGCTTATAAGGTTCACAAGGAATCTAATGCATATGTATATGGAAACTGGTGCATTGGCCAGGTCGGTCAGTATGGCAACTTAGAGTGCAAATGCCTGGGAGAACGGAACCGCTCAGATCTCGCATAGTACATGGAATCTAGTGGTCTCACTCAAATAGAAGGTAGGAAATAAATTCATCTAGTGAACGTAAGGGTTTGAAAGGTAACTAACGCACATGTGTGGAGAAAATGGTGCATCGGCCAGTCTGGCCGGCATTTCGCACTTAAAGTGCAAGTAGGGCCAAGGAGAACGGAAACTCTCATTTCTCAAAAAGTAAAGGGAATTTAGCGGTCTCACTCGATCAGAAGGTGGGAAATATATAAATCTAGTGAGCTAATAAGGTTCGAAAGGAATCTAATGCATATGTATATGGAAAATGGTGCATTGGCCAGGTCGGTCAGTATGGGAACTTAAAATGCAAATGCCAGGGAGAACGGAAGCGCTCAGATCTCGCATAGTACACGGAATCTAGTGGTCTCACTCAAATAGAAGGTAGGAAATAAATTCATCTAGTGAACGTAAGGGTTTGAAAGGTAACTAACGCACATGTGTAGAGAAAATGGTGCATCGGCCAGTCTGGCCGGCATTTCGCACTTATCGTGCAAGTAGGGCCAAGGAGAATGGAAACGCTCATTTCTCAAAAAGTAAAGGGAATCTAGCGGTCTCACTCGATCAGAAGGTGGGAAATATATAAATCTAGTGAGCTAATAAGGTTCGAAAGGAATCTAATGCATATGTATATGGAAAGTGGTGCATTGGCCAGGTCGGTCAGTATGGGAACTTAGAGTGCAAATGCTTGGGAGACAGAACCGCTCAGATCTCGCATAATACACGGAATCTAGTGGTCTCACTCAAATATAAGGTAGGAAATAAATTCATCTAGTGAACGTAAGGGTTTGAAAGGTAACTAACGCACATGTGTAGAGAAAATGGTGCATCGGCCAGTCTGGCCGGCATTTCGCACTTATAGTGCAAGTAGGGCCAAGGAGAACGGAAACACTCATTTCTCAAAAAGTAAAGGGAATCTAGCAGTCTCACTCGATCAGAAGGTGGGAAATATGTAAATCTAGTGAGCTTATAAGGTTCAAAAGGAATCTAATGCATATGTATATGGAAAGTGGTGCATTGGCCAGGTCGGTCAGTATGGGAACTTAGAGTGCAAATGCCTGGGAGAACGGAACCGCTCAGATCTCGCATAATACACGGAATCTAGTGGTCTCACTCAAATATAAGGTAGGAAATATTTTCATCTAGTGAACATAAGGGTTTGAAAGGTAACTAATGCACATGTGTAGAGAAAATGGTGCATCGGCCAGTCTGGCCGGCATTTCGCACTCATAGTGCAGGTGGGGCCAGGTAGAACGGAAACGCTCGTTTCTCAAAAAGTAGAGGGAATCTAACGGTCTCACTCGATCAGAAGGTGGGAAATATATAAATCTAGTCAGCTAAAAAGGTTTGAAATGTATTCAACGCAGATGTATAGAGAAAATGGTGCATTGGCCAGGTCGGTCAGTATCGGAACTTAAAATGCAAATGCCAGGGAGAACGGAAGCGCTCAGATCTCGCATAGTACACGGAATCAAGTGGTCTCACTTAAATAGAAAGTAGGAAATAAATTCATCTAGTGAACGTAAGGGTTTGAAAGGTAACTAACACACATGTGTAGAGAAAATTGTGCATCGGCCAGTCTGGCCGGCATTTCGCACTTATCGTGCACCTAGGGCCAAGGAGAACGAAAACGCTCATTTCTCAAAAAGTAGAGGGAATCTAGCGGTCTCACTCGATCAGAAGGTGGGAAATATATAAATCTAGTGAGCTAATAAGGTTCGAAAGGAATCTAATACATATGTATATGGAAAATGGTGCATTGGCCAGGTCGGTCAGTATGGGAACTTAGAGTGCAAATGCTAGGGAGAACGGAAGCGCTCAGATCTCGCATAGTACATGGAATCTAGTGGTCTCACTCAAATAGAAGGTAGGAAATAAATTCATCTAGTGAACGTAAGGGTTCGAAAGGTAACTAACGCACATGTGTAGAGAAAATGGTGCATCGGCCAGTCTGGCCGGCATTTCGCACTTATAGTGCAAGTAGGGCCAAGGAGAACGGAAACGCTAATTTCTCAAAAAGTAAAGAGAATCTAGCGGTCTCACTCGATTAGAAGGTGGGAAATATATAAATATAGTGAGTTTATAAGGTTCGAAAGGAATCTAATGCATATGTATATGGAAAATGGTGCATTGGCCAGGTCGGTCAGTATGGGAACTTAGACTGCAAATGCCAGGGAGAATGGAAGCGCTCAGATCTCGCATAGTACACAGAATCTAGTGGTCTCACTCAAATAGAAGGTAGGAAATAAATTCATCTAGTGAACGTAAGGGTTTAAAGGTAACTAACGCACATGTGTAGAGAAAATGGTGCATCGGCCAGTCTGGCCGGCATTTCGCGCTTATAGTGCAAGTAGGGCCAAGGAGAACGGAAACGCTCATTTCTCAAAAAGTAAAGGGAATCTAGCGGTCTCACTCGATCAAAAGGTGGGAAATATATAAATCTAGTGAGCTAATAAGGTTTGAAAGGAATCTAATGCATATGTATATGGAAAGTGGTGCATTGGCCAGGTCGGTCAGTATGGGAACTTCAGTGCAAATGCCTGGGAGAACAGAACCGCTGAGATCTCGCATAATACACGGAATCTAGTGGTCTCACTCAAATATAAGGTAGGAAATATATTCATCTAGTGAACGTAAGGGTTTGAAAGGTAACTAACGCACATGTGTAGAGAAAATTGTGCATCGGCCAGTCTGGCCGGCATTTCGCACTCAGAGTGCAAGTAGGGCCAAGGAGAACGGAAACGCTCATTTCTCAGAAAGTAAAGGGAATCTAGCGGGATCACTCGATCAAAAGGTGGGAAATATATAAATCTAGTGAGCTAATAAGGTTCAGAAGGAATCTAATGCATATGTATATGGAAAGTGGTGCATTGGCCAGGTCGGTCAGTATGGGAACTTAGAGTGCAAATGCCTGGGAGAACGGTACCGCTCAGATCTCGCATAATACACGGAATCTAGTGGTCTCACTCAAATATAAGGTAGGAAATATATCCATCTAGTGAACGTAAGGGTTGAAAGGTAACTAATGCACATGTGTAGAGAAAATGGTGCATCGGCCAGTCTGGCCGGCATTTCGCACTCATAGTGCAGGTTGGGCCAGGTAGAACGGAAACGTTCGTTTCTCAAAAAGTAGAGGGAATCTAACGGTCTCACTCGATCAGAAGGTGGGAAATATATAATTCTAGTCAGCTAAAAAGGTTTGAAATGTATTCAATGCACATGTAAAGAGAAAATGGTGCATTGGCCAGGTCGGTCAGTATCGGAACTTAAAATGCAAATGCCAGGGAGAACGGAAGCGCTCAGATCTCGCATAGTACACGGAATCAAGTGGTCTCACTCTAATAGAAAGTAGGAAATATATTCATCTAGTGAACGTAAGGGTTTGAAAGGTAACTAACGCACATGTGTAGAGAAAATTGTGCATCGGCCAGTCTGGCCGGCATTTCGCACTTATAGTGCAACTAGGGCCAAGGAGAACGGAAACGCTCATTTCTCAAAAAGAAGAGGGAATCTAGTGGTCTCACTCGATCAGAAGGTGGGAAATATATAAATCTAGTGAGCTAATAAGGCTCGAAAGGAATCTAATGCATATGTATATGGAAAATGGTGCATTGGCCAGGTCGGTCAGTATGGGAACTTAGAGTGCAAATGCCAGGGAGAACGGAAGCGCTCAGATCTCGCATAGTACACGGAATCTAGTGGTCTCACTCAAATAGAAGGTAGGAAATAAATTCATCTAGTGAACGTAAGGGTTTGAAAGGTAACTAACGCACATGTGTAGAGAAAATGGTGCATCCGCCAGTCTGGCCGGCATTTCGCACTCATAGTGCAGGTGGGGCCAGGGAGAACGGAAACGCTCGTTTCTGAAAAAGTAGAGGGAATCTAACCGTCTCACTCGATCAGAAGGTGGGAAATATATAAATCTAGTCAGCTAAAAAGGTTTGAAATGTATTCAACGCACATGTATAGAGAAAATGGTGCATTGGCCAGGTCGGTCAGTATCGGAACTTAAAATGCAAATGCCAGGGAGAACGGAAGAGCTCAGATCTCGCATAGTACACGGAATCAAGTGGTCTCACCCAAATAGAAAGTAGGAAATATATTCATCTAGTGAACATAAGGGTTTGAAAGGTAACTAACTCACATGTGTAGAGAAAATTGTGCGTCGGCCAGTCTGGCCGGCATTTCGCACTCATAGGGCAACTAGGGCCAAGGAGAACGGAAACGCTTATTTCTCAAAAAGTAGAGGAAATCTAGCGGTCTCACACGATCAGAAGGTGGGAAATATATAAATCTAGTGAGCTAAAAAGGTTTGAAAGGAATCTAATGCATAAGTATATGGAAAATGGTGCATTGGCCAGGTCGGTCAGTATGGGAACTTCGAGTGCAAATGACATGGACGTGGTCGTGGACGTGGACGTGGACGTGGACATGGACATGGACATGGACGTGGACATGGACGTGGACGTGGACATGGATGTGGACGTGGACATGGACGTGGACATGGACGTAGACGTGGAAATGGACGTGGACGTGGACGTAGACGTGGATGTGGACGTGGACGTGAACGTAGACGTGGACGTGGACAAGGACGTGGACATGGACGTGGACGTGGACGTGGACGTGGACATGGACGTGGAGGTGGACGTGACGTGGACGTGGACGTGGACGTGGACGTGGACGTGACGTGGACCTGACGTGGACGTGGACGTGGACCTGACGTGGACGTGGACGTGGACGTGGACATGGACGTGGACGTGGACGGGACGTGGACGTGGACGTGGACATGGACGTGGACGTGGACATGGACATGGACGTGGATGTGACGTGGACGTGGACGTGGACGTGGACATGGACATGGACATGGACGTGGACGTGGACGTGGACGTGGACGTGGACGCGGACGCGGACGCGGACGTGGACGCGGACATGGACGTGGACGTGGACATGGACGTGGATGTGGACGTAAGGGTTTGAAAGGTAACTAACGCACATGTGTAGAGAAAATTGTGCATCGGCCAGTCTGGCCGGCATTTCGCACTTATAGTGCAAGTAGGGCCAAGGAGAACGGAAACGCTCATTTCTCAAAAAGTAAAGGGAATCTAGCGATCTCACTCGATTAGAAGGTGGGAAATATATAAATCTAGTGAGCTAATAAGGTTCGAAAGGAGTCTAATGCATATGTATATGGAAAATGGTGCATTGGCCAGGTCGGTCAGTATGGGAACTTAGAGTGCAAATGCCAGGGAGAACGGAAGCGCTCAGATCTCGCATAGTACACGGAATCTAGTGGTCTCACTCAAATAGAAGGTAGGAAATAAATTCATCTAGTGAACGTAAGGGTTTGAAAGGTAACTAACGCACATGTGTAGAGAAAATGGTGCATCGGCCACTCTGGCCGGCATTTCGCACTTATAGTGCAAGTAGGGCCAAGGAGAACGGAAACGCTTATTTCTGAAAAAGTAAAGGGAATCTAGCGGTCTCACTCGATCGGAAGGTGGGAAATATATAAATCTAGTGAGCTAATAAGGTTCGGAAGGAATCTAATGCATATGTATATGGAAAGTGGTGCATTGGCCAGGTCGGTCAGTATGGGAACTTAGAGTGCAAATGCCAGGGAGAACGGAAGCGCTCAGATCTGGCATAGTACACGGAATCTAGTGGTCTCACTCAAATAGAAGGTAGGAAATAAATTCATCTAGTGAACGTAAGGGTTTGAAAGGTAACTAACGCACATGTGTAGAGAAAATGGTGCATCGGCCAGTCTGGCCAGCATTTCGCACTTATAGTGCAGGTGGGGCCAGGGAGAACGAAAATGCTCGTTTCTCAAAAAGTAGAGGGAATCTAACGGACTCACTCAATCAGAAGGTGGGAAATATATAAATCTAGTCAGCTAAAAAGGTTTGAAATGTATTCAACGCAAAGGTATAGAGAAAATGGTGCATTGGCGAGGTCGGTCAGTATCGGAACTTAAAATGCAAATGCCAGGGAGAACGGAAGCGCTCAGATCTCGCATAGTACACGAAATCAAGTGGTCTCACCCAAATAGAAAGTAGGAAATATATTCATCTAGTGAACATAAGGGTTTGAAAGGTAACTAACGAACATGTGTAGAGAAAATTGTGCGTCGGCCAGTCTGGCCGGCATTTCGCACGTATAGTGCAACTAGGGCCAAGGAGAACGGAAACGCTCATTTCTCAAAAAGTAGAGGGAATCTAGTGGTCTCACTCGATCAGAAGGTGGGAAATATATAAATCTAGTGAGATAATAAGGTTCGAAAGGAATCTAATGCATATGTATATGGAAAATGGTGCATTGGCCAGGTCGGTCAGTATGGGAACTTAGAGTGCAAATAACATGGACGTGGTCGTGGACGTGGACGTGGACGTGGATATGGACATGGACGTGGACATGGACGTGGACGTGGACATGGACGTTGACGTGGACATGGACGTGGACATGGACGTGGACGTGGACGTGGACATGGACGTGGACGTGGACGTGGTCGTGGACGTGGACGTGGACGTGGACGTGGACATGGACGTGGACATGGACGTGGACGTGGACGTGGAATTGGACGTGGACATGGACGTGGACGAAGACATGGTCGTGGACGTGGACGTGGACGTAGACATGGACGTAGACGTGGACGTGAAGGTGGACATGGACGTGGACCTGGTCGTGGACGTGGACGTGGAGGAACATGGACGTGGACGTGGACATGGACGTGGACGTGGACGTGGACATGGACGTGGACGTGGACGTTGACGTGGACGTGGACCTGGTCGTGGACGCGGACATGGATGTGGACGTGGACATGGACGTGGAGGTGGACGTGGACGTGGACGTGGACATGGACGTGGACGTGGACGTAGACGTAGACATGGTCGTGGACGTGGACATGGACATGGACGTGGACGTGGACGTGGACGTAGACGTGTACGTGGACGTGGACGTGGACGTGGACGTGGAAGTGGACGTGGACGTGGACGTGGAGGACTTGGACGTGGACGTGGACGTGGATGTGGACGTGGACGTGGACGACTTGGACGTGGACATGGACGTGGACATAGACGTGGACATAGACGTGGACGTGGACGTAGACATGGACGTAGACGTGGACGTGGACGTAGACATGGACATGGACGTGGACGTGGACGTGGACGTGGACGTGGACCTGGATATGGACGTGGACGAAGACATGGTCGTGGACGTGGACGTGGACGTGGTCGTGGTCGTGGACGTGGACATGGACGTGGACGTGGACATGGACGTGGACGTGGACATGGACGTGGACGAAGACGTGGTCGTGGACATGGACGTGGACGTGACGTGGACGTGCACATGGACGTGGACGTGGACGTGGACATGGACGTGGACGTGGACGTGGACGTGGACGAAGACATGGTCGTGGACGTGGACGTGGACGTGGACGTAGACATGGACGTAGACTTGGACATGGACGTGGATGTGGACGTGGTCGTGGACGTGGACGTGGACGTGGAGGAACATGGACGTGGACGTGGACGTGGACGTGGACATGGACGTGGGCGTAGACGTGGACGTGGACATGGACGTGGACATGGACGTGGACGTGGACGTGGACGTGGACGAAGACATGGTCGTGGACGTGGACGTGGACGTGGACGTGGACATCGACGTGGACGTGGACGTGGACATCGACGTGGACGTGGATGTGGACTTGGACGTGGACGTGGACGTGGACATGGACGTGGACGTGAACGTGGACGTGGACGTGGACATGGACATGGACGTGGACGTGGACGTGGACATGGTCGTGGACATGGACGTGAACGTGGACATGGACGTGGACGTGGACATGGACGTGGACGTGGTCGTGGACGTGGACGTGGACGTGGACGTGGACATGGTCGTGGACGTAGACATGGACGTGGACGTGGACATGGACGTGGACGTGGAGGTGGACGTGGACATGGACGTGGACGTGGACGTGACGTGGACGTGGACATGGACGTAGACGTGGACGTGGACGTGGATATGGACGACGTGGATATGGATGTGGACGTGGACGTGGACGTGGACGTGGACGTGGACATGGACGTGGACGTGGACATGGACGTGGACATGGATGTGGGAAGGGGATGTGGGGAAGTAGGGAAGGGGATGGGGGGAAGCAAGGAAGGGGATGGGGGGAAGCAGGGCAGGGGATACGGGGTAAGAGGGGATAGGATAGGGGGAAGCACGGCTAGGGATACGGGGAAGCAGGGAAGAGGATGGGGGGAACGTGGGCAGATGCCGGGGAGAGAGCTGGGGGGAGGATGGTGGGGAGCAGAGAGGGAATCAAAACGCTGTTCGATTGTGGTGGCGTAGCGACCACCTCTGTTTCTCCCCATCTGTTCCTCCCCATCTGTCCCACCCCTTCGGAAGGAATGAGGGAGGAAGGATGGGCTGGAGCTAGTGAGATGGGGAGAGGGGAAGAGCGGATGGAAACGCGGAGGAGGACATGGACGTGGACATGGACGTGGACGTGGACGTGGACGTGGACATGGACGTGGACATAGACGTGGACGTGGACGTGGACATGGACGTGGACGTGGACATGGACGTGGACGTAGACGTGGACGTGGACATGGACGTAGACGTGGACGTGGACGTGGACGTGGACGTGGACGTAGACGTGGACGTGGACGTGGACGTGGACGTAGACGTAGACGTGGACGTGGACGTGGACATGGACGTGGACGTGGATGTGGACGTTGACGTGGACATGGACGTGGACGTGGACGTGGACGTGGACGTGGAGGAGTTGGACGTGGACATGGACGTGGACATGGACGTGGACGTGGACGTGGACATGGACGTGAACGTGGACGTGGACATGGACGTGGACGTAGACGTGGGCGTGGACATGGACGTCGACGTGGACGTGGTTGTGGACGTGGACGTAGACGTAGACGTGGACGTGGACGTGGACATGGACGTAGACGTGGAGGTGGACGTGGACGTGGACATGGACGTGGACGTGGATGTGGACGTTGACGTGCAGGAGTTGGACGTGGACATGGACGTGGACATGGACATGGACGTGGAAGTGGACGTGGACGTGGACGTGGAGAACTTGGACGTGGACATGGACGTGAACGTGGACGTGGACATGGACGTGGAGGACTTGGACGTGGACATGGACGTGGACGTGGACGTGGACATGGACGTGGGCGTGGACATGGAGGTGGACGTGGACGTGGACGTGGACATGGACGTGGACGTGGACGTGGACGTGGACATGGTCGTGGACATGGACATGAACATGGACATGGACGTGGACGTGGACGTGGACGTGGACGTGGTCGTGGACGTAGACGTGGACGTGGACGTGGACGTGGTCGTGGACGTGGACGTGGACGTGGACGTGGACATGGACGTGGACGTGGACGTGGACGTGGAGGTGGAGATGGACGTGGACGTGGACGTGGACGTGGACGTGGACGTCGACGTGGACGTGGTCGTGGACGTGGACATGGACGTGGACGTGGACGTGGACATGGACGTGGACGTGGACGTGACGTGGACGTGGACGTGGATGTGGACGTGGACGTGGACCTGGACGTAGACGTGGACGTGGATGTGGACATAGACGTGGACATGGACGTGGACGTGGACGTGGACGTGGACATGGACGTGGACGTGGACGTGGACGTGGACTGGGACGTGGACGTGGACGTGGAGTGGACGTGGACGTGGACGTGGACATGGACGTAGACGTGGACGTGGACGTGGACATGGACGTGGACGTGGACGTGGACGTGGACGTGGACGTGGACGTGGACATTGACGTGGACGTGGACGTAGACGTGGACATGAACGTGGACGTGGACGTGGACGTGGACGTGGAGGTGGACGTGGACGTGGACGTGGAGGTGGACGTGGACGTGGACGTGGACGTGGTCGTGGACGTGGACATAGACGTGGACGTGGACATGGACGTGGACGTGGACGTGACGTGGACGTGGACGTGGACGTGGACGTGAACGTGGACGTAGACGTGGACGTGGACGTGGACATAGACGTGGACATGGACGTGGACGTGGACGTGGACGTGGACATTGACGTGGACGTGGACGTGGACGTGGATATGGACGTGGACGTGGACGTGACGTGGACGTGGACGTGGACGTGGACATGGACGTGGACGTGGACGTGGACGTGGACGTGGACGTGGACATGGACGTGGACGTGGACGTGGACGTGGACGTGGACGTGGACGATGACGTGGACGTGGAGTGGACGTGGACCTGGACGTGGACGAGGACGTGGACGTGGACGTGGAGGTGGACGTGGAGGTGGACGTGGAGGTGGACGTGGACGTGGACGTGGACGTGGACGTGGACGTGGACGTGGACGTGGAGAACTTGGACGTGGACATGGACGTGAACGTGGACATGGACGTGGACTGGACGTGGACGTGGACGTGGACGTGGACGTGGACGTGGACATGGACGTGGAGGTGGACGTGGACGTGGACGTGGACGTGGACGTGAAGTGGACGTGGACGTCGACGTGGACGTGGACGTGGACGTGGACATGGACGTGGACGTGGACGTGGACATGGACGTGGACGTGGACGTGGACGTGGACGTGGACGTGGACGTGGACGTGGACGTGGAGGACGTGGACGTGGACGTGGACGTGGACGTGGAGGACGTGGACGTGGACGTGGACGTGAACGTGGACGTGGACGTGGACGTGGAGGACTTGGACGTGGACATGGACGTGGACGTGGAGTGGACGTGGACGTGGACGTGGACGTGGACGTGGACGTTGACGTGGACGTGGACGTGGACCGTGACGTGGACGTGGACGTGACGTGGACGTGGACGTGGACGTGGACGTGGACATGGACGTGGACGTGGACGTGGACGTGGACGTGGACGTGGACGTGGAGGACGTGGACGTGGACGAAGACGTGGACGTGGAGGACGTGGACGTGGACATGGACGTGAACGTGGACGTGGACGTGGAGGACTTGGACGTGGACGTGGACGTGGAGGACGTGGACGTGGACGTGGACGTGGATGTGGAGAACGTGGACGTGGACATGGACGTGAACGTGGACGTGAACGTGGACGTGGAGGACTTGGACGTGCACGTGGACGTGGACGTGGAGGACGTGGACATGGACGTGGACGTGGACGTGGACGTGGAGATGGTCGTGGACATGGACATGAACATGGACATGGACGTGGACGTGGACGTGGTCGTGGACGTAGACGTGGACGTGGACGTGGACGTGGTCGTGGACGTGGACGTGGTCGTGGACGTGGTCGTGGACGTGGACGTGGACGTGGACGTGGACGTGGACGTGGACGTGGACGTGGACGTGGACGTGGAGTGGACGTGGACGTGGACGTGGACGTGGACGTGGACGTGGACGTGGAGTGGACGTGGACGTGGACGTGGACGTGGAGGTGGACGTGGACGTGGAGGTGGACGTGGACGTGGACGTGGAGGTGGACGTGGACGTGGACGTGGACGTGGACGTGGACGTGGACATGGACGTGGAGGTGGACGTGGAGGTGGACGTGGAGAACTTGGACATGGACATGGACGTGAACGTGGACATGGACGTGGACTGGACGTGGACGTGGACGTGGACGTGGACGTGGACGTGGACGTGGACATGGACGTGGACGTGGACGTGGACGTGGACATGGACGTGGAGGTGGACGTGGAGTGGACGTGGACGTGGACGTGGACGTGGACGTGGACGTGGACGTAGACGTGGACGTGGACGTGGACGTGGACATGGACGTGGACGTGGACGTGGACGTAGACGTGGACGTGGACGTAGACGTAGACGTGGACGTGCACGTGGACATGGACGAGGACGTGGACGAGGACGTGGACGTGGAGGACGTGGACATGGATGTGGACGTGGACGTGGACGTAGAGAACTTGGACATGGACATGGACGTGAACGTGGACGTGGACGTGGACGTGGAGGACTTGGACGTGGACATGGACGTGGACGTGGAGTGGACGTGGACGTGGACGTTGACGTGGACGTGGACGTGGACATGGACGTGGACGTGGACGTGACGTGGACGTGGACGTGGACGTGGACGTGGACATGGACGAGGACGTGGACGTGGACATGGAGGTGGACGTGGACGTGGACGTGGACGTGGACGTGGACGTGGACGTGGACGTGGAGGACGTGGACGTGGACGTGGACGTGGAGGACGTGGACGTGGACGTGGACGTGGAGGACTTGGACGTGGACGTGGACGTGGAGGACGTGGACGTGGACGTGGACGTGGACGTGGAGAACGTGGACGTGGACATGGACGTGAACGTGGACGTGGACGTGGACATGGAGGACTTGGACGTGCACGTGGACGTGGACGTGGAGGACGTGGACGTGGACGTGGACGTGGACGTGGACGTGGACATGGTCGTGGACATGGACATGAACATGGACATGGACGTGGACGTGGACGTGGACGTGGTCGTGGACGTAGACGTGGACGTGGACGTGGACGTGGTCGTGGACGTGGACGTGGACGTGGACATGGACGTGGACGTGGACGTGGACGTGGAGATGGACGTGGACGTGGACGTGGAGATGGACGTGGACGTGGACGTGGACGTGGACGTGGACGTGGAGTGGACGTGGACGTGGACGTGGACGTGGACGTGGACGTGGACGTGGACATGGACGTGGACGTGGACGTGGACATTGACGTGGACGTGGACGTTGACGTGGACGTCACATGGACGTGGACGTGGACGTGACGTGGACGTGGACGTGGACGTGGACGTGGACATGGACGTGGACGTGGACGTGGACATGGAGGTGGACGTGGACGTGGACGTGGACATGGACGTGGACGTGGACGTGGACGTGGACGTGGACGTGGAGGACGTGGACGTGGACGTGGACGTGGACGTGGACGTGGAGGACGTGGACGTGGACATGGACGTGAACGTGGACGTGGACGTGGACGTGGAGGACTTGGACGTGGACGTGGACGTGGACGTGGAGGACGTGGACGTGGACGTGGACGTGGACGTGGAGAACGTGGATGTGGACATGGACGTGAACGTGGACGTGGACGTGGACGTGGAGGACTTGGACGTGGACGTGGACGTGGACGTGAACGTGGACGTGGACGTGGACGTGGAGGACTTGGACGTGGACGTGGACGTGGACATGGACGTGGAGTTGACGTGGACGTGGACGTGGACGTGGACGTGGAGAACTTGGACGTGGACATGGACGTGAACGTGGACGTGGACGTGGACGTGGAGGACTTGGACGTGGACATGGACGTGGACGTGGAGTGGACGTGGACGTGGACGTTGACGTGGACGTGGACGTGGACATGGACGTGGACGTGGACGTGGACGTGGACGTGGACGTGGACGTGGACATGGAGGTGGACGTGGACGTGGACGTGGACGTGGACGTGGAGGACGTGGACGTGGACGTGGACGTGGACGTGGAGGACGTGGACGTGGACATGGACGTGAACGTGGACGTGGACGTGGACGTGGAGGACTTGGACGTGGACGTGGACGTGGACGTGGAGGACGTGGACGTGGACGTGGACGTGGACGTGGACGTGGACATGGACGTGAACATGGACGTGGACGTGGACGTGGAGGACTTGGACGTGGACGTGGACGTGGACGTGAACGTGGACGTGGACGTGGACGTGGAGGACTTGGACGTGGACGTGGACGTGGACGTGGACATGGACGTGGACGTGGACGTGGACGTGGACGTGGACGTGGACGTGGACGTGGACGTGGAGGTGGACGTGGACGTGGACGTGGACCTGGACATGGACGTGGACGTGGACGTGGACATGGACGTGGACGTAGACATGGTCGTGGACGTGGACATGGACGTGGACGTGAACAAGACGTGGACATGGTTGTGGACGTGGACATAGACGTGGACGTGAACATGGACGTGGACATGGACGTGGACGTGGACATGGACGTGGACATGGACGTGGACATGGACGTGGACGTGGACATGGACGTGGACATGGACATGGACGTGGACATGGACGTGGACATGGACGTGGACGTGGACGTGGACGTGGACATGGACGTGGACATGGACGTGGACATGGACGTGGACGTGGACGTGGGCGTGGCATGGACGTGGACGTGGACGTGGAGATGGACGTGGACGTGGACGTGGAGGACTTGGACTTGGAGATGGACGTTGACGTGGACGTGGACGTGGACGTGGACGTGGACGTGGACGTGGACGTGACGTGGACGTGGACGTGGACGTGGACGGTGGACGTGGACGTGGACGTGGACGTGGACGTGGACATGGACGTGGACGTGGACGTGGACGTGGACGTGGACGTGGACGTGGACGTGGACATGGACGTGGACGTGGACGTGGACGTAGACGTGGACATGGACGTGGAGTGGACGTGGACTTGGAGGTGGACGTGGAGGTGGACGTGGACGTGGACGTGGACGTGGAGGTGGACGTGGACATGGACGTGGACGTGGACGTGGACGTGGACGTGGACGTGGACATGGACGTGGACGTGGACGTGGACGTGGACGTGGAGAACTTGGACGTGGACATGGACGTGAACGTGGACATGGACGTGGACGTGGACGTGGACGTGGACGTGGACGTGGACGTGGACATGGACGTGGAGGTCGACGTGAAGTGGACGTGGACGTGGACGTGGACGTGGACATGGACGTGGACGTGGACGTGTACGTGGACATGGACGTGGACGTGGACGTGGACGTAGACATGGACGTGGACGTGGACGTGGACGTGGACATGGACGTGGACGTAGACGTAGACGTGGACGTGGACGTGGACATGGACGTGGACGTGGACGTGGACGTGGACGTGGACGTGGAGGACGTGGACATGGACGTGGACGTGGAGGACATGGACGTGGACGTGGACGTGGACGTGGACGTGGAGAACTTGGACGTGGACATGGACGTGAACGTGGACGTGGACGTGGACGTGGAGGACTTGGACGTGGACATGGACGTGGACGTGGAGTGGACGTGGACGTGGACGTTGACGTGGACGTGGACGTGGACATGGACGTGGACGTGGACGTGACGTGGACGTGGACGTGACGTGGACGTGGACGTGGACGTGTACGTGGACATGGACGTGGACGTGGACGTGGACGTGGACATGGAGGTGGACGTGGACGTGGACGTGGAGGACGTGGACGTGGAGGACGTGGACGTGGACGTGGAGAACGTGGACGTGGACATGGACGTGAACGTGGACGTGGACGTGGACGTGGAGGACTTGGACGTGGACGTGGAAGTGGACGTGAACGTGGACGTGGACGTAGATGGGAGTACTTGGACGTGGACGTGGACGTGGACGTGGACGTGGACATGGACGTGGACGTGGACGTGGACGTGGACGTGGACGTGGACCTGGACGTGGACGTGGACGTGGACCTGGACATGGACGTGGACGTGGACGTGGACCTGAACGTGGAGGTAGACATGGTCGTGGACGTGGACATGGACGTGGACGTGAACAAGACGTGGACATGGACGTGGACGTGGACATGGACGTGGACGTGAACATGGACGTGGACATGGACGTGGACGTGGACATGGACGTGGACGTGAACATGGACGTGGACATGGACGTGGACGTGGACATGGACGTGGACATGGACGTGGACATGGACGTGGACGTGGACATGGACGTGGACATGGACGTGGACATGGACGTGGACATGGACATGGACGTGGACATGGACGTGGACATGGACGTGGACATGGACGTGGACGTGGACGTGGGCGTGGACGTGGACGTGGACGTGGACATGGACGTGGACGTGGACGTGGAGGACTTGGACGTGGAGATGGACGTTGACGTGGACGTGGACGTGGACGTGGACATGGACGTGGACGTGGACATGGACGTGGACATGGACGTGGACATGGACGTGGACATCTACGTGGACGTCGACGTGGAAGTGGACGTGGACGTGGAGAACTTGGACGTGGACATGGACGTGGACATGGACGTGGACGTGGATGTGGACGAAGACATGGTCGTGGATGTGGACGTGGACGTGGACGTGGACGTGGACATGGACTTAGACGTGGACGTGGACGTGGACGTGGACATGGACGTGGTCGTGGACGTGGACGTGGTCGTGGACATGGACGTGGACGTGGACATGGACGTGGACGTGGACGTGGACGTAGACATGGACGTGGACCTGGACGTGGACGAGGACGTGGACGTGGACATGGACGTGGACGTGGACGTAGACAGGGACATGGACTTGGACATGGACGTGGACGTGGACATGGACGTGGACGTGGACATGGACATGGACATGGACGTGGACGTGAACGTGGACGTGGACATAGACGTGGACGTGGACGTGGACATGGACATGGACACGTCCACGTCCATGTCCACATCCACGTCCATGTCCACGTCCACGTCCATGTCCACGTCCATGTCCATGTCCATGTCCATGTCCACGTCCACGTCCACGTCCACGTCCATGTCATTTGCACTCTAAGTTCCCATACTGACCGACCTTATAAGCTCACTAGATTTATATATTTCCCACCTTCTGATCGAGTGAGAGTGCTAGATTCCCTTTACTTTTTGAGAAATGAGCGTTTCCGTTCTCCTTGGCCCTACTTGCACTATAAGTTCGAAATGCCGGCCAGACTGGCCGATGCTCCATTTTCTCTACACATGTGCGTTAGTTACCTTTCAAACCCTTACGTTCACTAGATGAATTTATTTCCTACCTTCTATTTGAGTGAGACCACTAGATTCCGTGTACTATGCGAGATCTGAGCGCTTCCGTTCTCCCTGTCATTTGCACTCTAAGTTCCCATACTGACCGACCTGGCCAATGCACCATTTTCCATATACATATGCATTAGATTCCTTTCGAACCTTATTAGCTCACTAGATTTATATATTTCCCACCTTCTGATCGAGTGAGACTGCTAGATTCCCTTTACTTTTTGAGAAATGAGCGTTTCCGTTCTCCTTGGCCCTACTTGCACTATAAGTGCGAAACGCCGGCGAGACTGGCCGATGCTCCATTTTCTCTACACATGTGCGTTAGTTACCTTTCAAACCCTTACGTCCACTAGATGAATTGATTTCCTACCTTCTATTTGAGTGAGACCACTAGATTCCGTGTACTATGCGAGATCTGAGCGCTTCCGTTCTCCCTGGCATTTGCACTCTAAGTTCCCATACTGACCGACCTGGCCAATGCACCATTTTCCATATACATATGCATTAGATTCCTTTCGAACCTTATTAGCTCATTAGATTTATATATTTCCCACCTTCTGATCGAGTGAGACCGCTAGATTCCCTCTACTTTTTGAGAAATGAGCGTTTCCGTTCTCCTTGGCCCTACTTGCACTATAAGTGCGAAATGCCGGCCAGACTGGCCGATGCGCAATTTTCTCTACACATGTGCGTTAGTTACCTTTCAAACCCTTACGTTCACTAGATGCATATATTTCTTACCTTATATTTGAGTGAGACCACTAGATTCCCTGTATTATGCGAGATCTGAGCGGTTCCCTTCTCCGAGGCATTTGCACTCTAAGTTCCCATACTGACTGACGTGGCCAATGCACCACTTTCTATATACATATGCATTAGATTCCTTCCGAACATTATTAGCTCACTAGATTTATATATTTCCCACCTTCTGATCGAGTGAGACCGCTAGATTCCCTTTACTTTTTTAGAAATGAGCGTTTCCGTTCTCCTTGGCCCTAGTTGCACTAAAAGTGCGAAATGCCGGCCAGACTGGCCGATGCACCATTTTCTCTACACATGTGCGTTAGTTACCTTTCAAACCCTTACGTTCACTAGATGAATTTATTTCCTACATTCTATTTGAGTGAGACCACTAGATTCCGTGTACTATGCGAGATATGAGCGCTTCCGTTCTCCCTGGCATTTGCATTTTGAAGTTCCGATACTGACCGACCTGGCCAATGCACCATTTTCTCTATACATGTGCGTTGAATACATTTCAAACCTTTTTAGCTGACTAGATTTATATATTTCCCACCTTTTGATCGAGTGAGACCATTAGATTCCCTCTACTTTTTGAGAAACGAGCGTTTCCGTTCTCCCTGGCCCCACCTGCACTATGAGTGCGAAATGCCGGCCAGACTGGCCGATGCACCATTTTCTCTACACATGTGCGTTAGTTACCTTTCAAACCCTTACGTTCACTAGATGAATATATTTCCTACCTTATATTTGAGTGAGACCACTAGATTCCGTGTATTATGCGAGATCTGAGCGGTTCCGTTCTCCCAGGCATTTGCACTTTAAGTTCCCATACTGACCGACCTGGCCAATGCACCATTTTCCATATACATATGCATTAGATTCCTTTCGAACCTTATAAGCTCACTAGATTTATATATTTCCCACCTTCTGATCGAGTGAGAGTGCTAGATTCCCTTTACTTTTTGAGAAATGAGCGTTTCCGTTCTCCTTGGCCCTACTTGCACTATAAGTGCGAAATGCCGGCCAGACTGGCCGATGCTCCATTTTCTCTACACATGTGCGTTAGTTACCTTTCAAACCCTTACGTTCACTAGATGAATTTATTTCCTACCTTCTATTTGAGTGAGACCACTAGATTCCGTGTACTATGCGAGATCTGAGCGCTTCCGTTCTCCCTGGCATTTGTACTCTAAGTTCCCATACTGACCGACCTGGCCAATGCACCATTTTCGATATACATATGCATTAGATTCCTTTCGAACCTTATTAGCTCACTAGATTTATATATTTCCCACCTTCTGATCGAGTGAGAGTGCTAGATTCCCTTTACTTTTTGAGAAATGAGCGTTTCCGTTCTCCTTGGCCCTAGTTGCACTATAAGTGCGAAATGCCGGCCAGAATTTATTTCCTACATTCTATTTGAGTGAGACCACTAGATTCCGTGTACTATGCGAGATCTGAGCCCTTGCGTTCTCCCTGGCATTTGCACTCTAAGTTCCCATACTGACCGACCTGGCCAATGCACCATTTCCCATATATATATGCATTAGATTCCTTTCGAACCTTATTAGCTCACTAAAATTATATATTTCCCACCTTCTGATCGAGTGAGACCGCTGGATACCCTCTACGTTTTGAGAAATGAGCGTTTCCGTACTCCTTGGCCCTAGTTGCACTAAAAGTGCGAAATGCCGGCCAGACTGGCCGATGCACCATTTTCTCTACACATGTGTGTTAGTTACCTTTCAAACCCTTACGTTCACTAGATGAATTTATTTCCTACCTTCTATTTGAGTGAGACCACTAGATTCCGTGTACTATGCGAGATCTGAGCGCTTCCGTTCTCCCTGGCATTTGCACTCTAAGTTCCCATACTGACCGACCTGGCCAATGCACCATTTTCCATATACATATGCATTAGATTCCTTTCGAACCTTATTAGCTTACTAGATTTATATATTTCCCACCTTCTGATCAAGTGAGACCGCTAGATTCCCTCTACTTTTCGAGAAATGAGCGTTTCCGTTCTCCTTGGCCCTAGTTGCACTATAAGTGCGAAATGCCGGCCAGACTGGCCGATGCACAATTTTCTCTACACATGTGCGTTAGTTACCTTTCAAACCCTTACGTTCACTAGATGAATTTATTTCCTACTTTCTATTTGAGTGAGACCACTTGATTCCGTGTACTATGCGAGATCTGAGCGCTTCCGTTCTCCCTGGCATTTGCATTTTAAGTTCCGATACTGACCGACCTGGCCAATGCACCATTTTCTCTATACATGTGCGTTGAATACATTTCAAACCTTTTTAGTTGACTAGATTTATATATTTCCCACCTTCTGATCGAGTGAGATCGTTAGATTCCCTCCACTTTTTGAGAAACGAGCGTTTCCGTTCTCCTTGGCCCCACCTGCACTATGAGTGCGAAATGCCGGCCAGACTGGCCGATGCACCATTTTCTCTTCACATGTGCGTTAGTTACCTTTCAAACCCTTACGATCACTAGATGAATATATTTCCTATCTTATATTTGAGTGAGACCACTAGATTCCGTGTATTATGCGAGATCTGAGCGGTTCTGTTCTCCCAGGCATTTGCACTCTAAGTTCCTATACTGACCGACCTGGCCAATGCACCACTTTCCATATATATATGCATTAGATTCCTTCCGAACCTTATTAGCTCACTAGATTTATATATTTCCCACCTTCTGATCAAGTCAGACCGCTAGATTCCCTTTACTTTTTGAGAAATGAGTGTTTTTGTTTTCCTTGGCCCTACTTGCACTATAAGTGCGAAATGCCGGCCAGACTGGCCGATGCACCATTTTCTCTACACATGTGCGTTAGTTACCTTTCAAACCCTTACGTTCACTAGATGAATTTATTTCCTACCTTCTATTTGAGTGAGACCACTAGATTCCGTGTACTATGTGAGATCTGAGCGCTTCCGTTCTCCCTGGCATTTGCACTCTAAGTTCCCATACTGACCGACCTGGCCAATGCACCATTTTCCATATACATATGCATTAGATTCCTTTCGAACCTTATTAGCTCACTAGATTTATATATTTCCCACCTTCTGATCGAGTGAGACCGCTAGATTCCCTCTTCTTTTCGAGAAATGAGCGTTTCCGTTCTCCTTGGCCCTACTTGCAATACAAGTGCGAAATGCCGGCTAGACTGGCCGATGCACCATTTTCTCTACACATGTGCGTTAGTTACCTTTCAAACCCTTACGTTCACTAGATGAATTTATTTCCTACCTTCTATTTGAGTGAGACCACTAGATTTTGTGTACTATGCGAGATCTGAGCGCTTCCGTTCTCCCTGGCATTTGCACTCTAAGTTCCCATACTGACCGACCTGGCCTATGCACCATTTTCCATATACATATGCATTAGATTCCTTTCGAACCTTATAAGCTCGCTATATAAATATATTTCCCACCTTATGATCGAGTGAGACCGCTAGATTCCCTCTACTTTTTGAGAAATGAGCGTTTCCGTTCTCCTTGGCCCTACTTGCACTGTAAGTGCGAAATGCCGGCCAGACTGGCCGATGCACAATTTTCTCTACACATGTGCGTTAGTTACCTTTCAAACCCTTATGTTCACTAGATGAATATATTTCCTACTTTCTATTTGAGTGAGACCCCTTGATTCCGTGTACTATGCGAGATCTGAGCGCTTCCGTTCTCTCTGGCATCTGCATTTTAAGTTCCGATACTGACCGACCTGGCCAATGCACCATTTTCTCTATACATGTGCGTTGAATACATTTCAAACCTTTTTAGCTGACTAGATTTATATATTTCCCACCTTCTGATCGAGTGAGACCGTTAGATTCCCTCTACTTTTTGAGAAACAAGCGTTTCCGTTCTCCCTGGCCCCACCTGCACTATGAGTGCGAAATGCCGGCCAGACTGGCCGATGCACCATTTTCTCTACACATGTACGTTAGTTACCTTTCAAACCCTTACGTTCACTGGATGAATAAATTTCCTACCTTATATTTGAGTGAGACCACTAGATTCCATGTATTATGCGAGATCTTAGCGGTTCCGTTCTCCGAGGCATTTGCACTCCAAGTTCCCATACTGACCGACCTGGCCAATGCACCATTTTCCATATACATATGCATTAGATTCCTTTCGAACCTTATTAGCTCACTAGATTTATATATTTCCCACCTTCTGATGGAGTGAGACTGCTAGATTCCCTCTACTTTTTGAGAAATGA